AGTTGATCACCAACTAGAAACCACTGAAATGCATTTTACATGTACTTTTCTGAATCATATTATTTATTTTTTTTCGCTTATATTACTGGTTATTTCTTTATTTTATTTTTCGTTTTGTTTATTGTTTTTTTGCGTTACCAAACCAAAATAAAATTTCATCGACCCACGCATTTGTTCTCGAAAAAAAAAGCTATCTACTTTACAACCTTTACAAATAATTAAGGTTTTATTAACAGACAACTATTAGTTCACAGTTTTCTTTTAACAAAGTCTTTGGTAGTAGAGCAAAGGCAACATCTATAAACATCTTTAATGAACGTTTCGGAATTACACATATTCCATCTTCAGCAAATCTACGAAAATGACAAATTGACAATTCACTATTAGACTTCCTTTTCCACCAAATTCTTCAAGAGTTTTTGGTAGAATGATTAAATCAAGAAAAACGTTTGGGCACACTGGGACCTGACAAGACAAAAGCAAGTGTGTCTAAACATTGTTCCTGAACAAACTTTATATAGGCATTTTGTTAGAAGAGAACAACGAAGACCTAGCTTAGTATTAATCCGAAACTCGCCCCCCAGTGGCACAGCGGTATGTCTGCGGACTTACAACGCTAGAAACCGGGTTTCGATATCCGTGGTGGGCAGAGCACAGATAGCCCATCGTGTTTTTTAAGTATAGTTCACATTTAGTGAAGTATCTTTTTCCCTTCCTCCAATGTTTCAAGAGAGAGAAAGGTCGATCGCCTGGTGCTCCCAAGTTACTTCCTCGAAAGGGGTCACCTGTTTTAACCATTCGCACCACTATACAGTAGTGTGTTGTCTGTCAGTCAACACTAAAATGATGTCACGTAAGGGATGCTTAACGTTGATTTGTACTGTCGTGACGTCAGTAAAACGTGCGCATGGCATGAATCACGAGAAGAACTGTGTATTCTGTAGGCTACAACACAGCATGACAAATGAACTTCAACAGCAAGAAATACAAATATTTGTTAATCTTAATTTTGGTCTTATTTACTCTTGAAATAGAACACTTTCGGGGACCCTGCAGAAATACATTTCGTGTGTGCATATAGATGCAGAAAAGGTCATGCCGGTCGTTCTTCTGCTTTGTTTTAGCACAAAGCTACATACACAATAGGTTATCTGCGTTCTGTCTACTACAGAGAATAGAATAACGGATTTTAGCGCTATAAGTCCGTAATCTCACCGCTGATCCACTGGGGAACCGTTAGTCTGAACTTGCAAGCTTTGGCAGCAAGCGCGTATGCTGCAGGACGTGTCGCACTCGTTGCTGTTGCCCTTCCTTTTCCAATGAGATATTAAGATATCATATTCATGCGTTTTGAGTTTCGGAGTATTTTTTTCCCTTATAAATCAATGTGAATTAAATCACAAAGGCATTTTTCTGTTTTAATAAGTTAATTGTGCAAGAAATAGTTTAAACGTATTCGACTGAAAAATCCACGTATGCAATAACGTCCTATAGTATACAAACTATTCATAAGTGAAAGACGTCAGAATCTTAGTTATCCACAACTTACATTTTCTAACAATTTTAAATATATTCTTTTGCAATATATGTTTGAGCTACCTTAATATCTATAGAGGATGAGTATTATAACGATTTTGAATATGCAAATCAGCAGGCTATCGTTCTCTTACACTAGGTAGTTTATGGCAAGTAACAGGGAGGAGTGTACTTTGGACATGACTTCCTTACGACAGAGCCATTTTGTTGCAGGACTATTGTCAAGATGTCCAGTTGAGAAACAGAGTATGACTGGATGTGGCGACATGGACTGTTACAGCGTGGTGAGGATATAAATCATTTGAATGCAACTTATTCAACTTCTGTTCTTCAGCCAGTTTAGAAATGTCATAGTTTCTTATAACATACTTTTAGACTTAAATCTTTTGCACTTCAAATAATCAACAAGCTATGTAACTGGGCATAGAACTTTCACTTCATTAAAGCTTAACTTTCAAACAAAGTAAATGATAATGACCACCAAATGTGAATTAATTAAAATACTCTTCTTTCTCCAAGTTGCTTTACTTCTGTTTCTCTGTATTTGAGATTCTTATCGGTACCATCTTATCCAGCTTCGAAAACATTAGATAAGATAGGATAAGATAACATAAGATAGGAGCTTAGAAAGTTATTCAACAATCTATTAGGTCGTCAAGAAATTCATGTCGCTTTTTTAGATGAAAAAATCCGAACAACTTATATATCAAAACAAAACATTTATTAAATGAAATAGTCTCCATTATTATCGATGATGCTTTTCCATATTACAATCAGGTTCTTAATGCCCTGATTAAAGAAATCATTTGGCTTTGAAGCAAAAAACATGCCGATGTCCTCTTTAACACCTTCCACATTTGCATACGTTTTCCCATTAAGATGGTGTTGCAGCGAACGAAAAAGATGGTAATTTGATGGTGCCATATGGTGGGTTGGGGAGAACTTCCCAACCCAACTCCATAATCTTGTGTTTCGTCAAACGTGCCACATGTGGACGTGCATTGTCGTGGAGAAGAAGAACACCTTTCCGATTGACGATTGAAGGGCGTTTCTGATGAAGGGCTTGATTTAAACGTTCCAGTTGTTGACAATAGATCTCTGCATTGACAGTTCGCTGTAGATTGAAGAGTTCGAAATGAATTTACTCCTTTGATGTCCCACCAAATGCAAAGCATCACTTTCTGCGGATGGAGTCCAGGTTTTGGGGTCGGAAGTGGTCCCTGTCTAGGACTGAACCATTGTTTTTGGCGTTTAATATTCGCATAGAGAATCCATTTTTCATCACCGCTGGCAATTCTGTCCAGAAATGGTTCAAGCACATTACGCGCCAGAAAAAACGAAGCAACGTTCACACGTTGGAAACGGTACCCATCGAAGAGTTCGTGAGGCACCCAAACACCTTCTTTATGGAGTTTTACCATATTCATTAGATGTTTATGTATTGTTTCATGAGAGACATGCAATTTCAGGGCCATTCGACAAGTGTGTTGCCTTGGGTTAGACTCAATAAGCGTCTTCAGAGCATGAATATCAATTGCAACATGTCGGCCCCTGCCATCACAGTTTTTAAGGCTAGTCCCCTGAACGAAATTTGCTGAACCATCGTTGACACTTAAGAACGTTCAAAACATTTCCATAAACTTCTTTGATATT